GTTTGATCAAATTTTTATAGCAGGACATTCATTCGCAATTACAATGTTTGAGAAGGATTTGAAGCAAAATTATTACAAATTAATTAGTTTGAATATGTTTTTAGTCCATATATCCCATTAAATCACCCAGTTTGTACGTGGGAACCCATCTTTAATCAGTACTAGAAATCTGATTTTGTCTTTTTTTAAAATAAAACTTGTGATGTGATGGGTTTTATTCGAAAGACAGGGTCTTACTCTTAATTGGACTACCTGATATCACTTACAGATTTATCAGTGCAAGCTTGGCAATCTTTGAATTGTCAGTACTTTGCATACATATATATATTTTACTATTTCTTGTTCAAATTATATGTGCTGTATTAATGCACTGTTTATTCTGTATTTTGTTGGGTATGGTGTCTGTTATAAATACATACATGTAAACAATACAGAATTAAGTTTTTCTCTATTTTCATAAATAATTGCATCACAAATTTGATGAAAAGAAGTTTAATTTCCTACTTTTCTGCCTCAACTGGCCTAATGAAGACTGGCTACTGACACAATCTAACTACCTGTGTCCAACTCTATACCTTATTGACTCACAATTTTAAAATTACACACAAAATTTTAAATTCACTGTATTAGAGTTCATGCAAAGATTTTACAAGATCAATGCTAAGCTTAGGACAAGTAAGTTGTAAGCAGTAGCGAGATTACTGGCCATTCAACAGTTACTATTATCTATGACACACACTTGACCCGGTCTCGTACACACTTCGCTTAAAAGCTGTTTTGTCTGTCAGACAAAAGCTTTAGTGTGGCTTCCATTTTGTCATCGGTGACACTTGCAGGTCACTTGGCCTGTGATAATATTTGCTCGTATGTGGACAAATTGGCTATGGATCTACCTGTGATGACCATAGCGTGGCGTTAACAACTGAACAAAAGACATTTAGAGAAGGTTTAGTGGAGCTTCGACTTTCTGAACTTCTGAGTCAACATTTGAATTATTATATTCCCTTTCGCGAGATCTTTAAACAATATTTATCAGTTTATTTTTACTTTAGTGACATCGATAAAACAACTAATTAATAAATCAAACAAACTCCTTGTTTCTTGGGAACAATCAAACATGTGGTTAAGACAATAATTTTCCCTTAAGGAAGACATTAAAATATACTGTCACTTGAATTTTGTAAAAATATCAAAGAAAAAATCAACATAACATTTCTTCCTTCTATTCAGTAGGTGTATGTCCATCCTTTCAAGAGTTTGGAACTGATTGATTTTAGCATATTCCCTCCAGAAAGCCCTTAAAACAATAAGACTATTTCATTTTGCCTTGAATGATATTTAATACACTTTATAAGAAGAAATCGAACATGGAATTACTAACATCCACTCAAATACCTGTATAGCATGTCCTTTCGTCAGTCAGGAATCATTTACTGGTAATCTGAAAATTTCTCTCCAGGAAGCCATTAATCCTTTAGAACTTAAACTGCCCCAAACAGCCTTAACTATGGCTACTTAGACCAGTCGAAACGCCCCGTAACGTGCAGAGCTGGGTTGACCCTTCCAAACTAGTGAATGGTCCTATAAGGCGGAAAGCTATTCACATATGTCTGGTGGTTTGAGGAGGTCTAAGGAACAGAAACTTCAGATTGTTTTGGGCTGTACAGGAATATACCAGTATTAATATATCACTTTTCTCTAATTTCTTTTGAGAGAGAAAGAGAGAGAAATGGGGTTTAACGTCCACTCGACACAAACCAGGTCATTTTGATATTAACAAATGGTTAAATATATTTTAATAATTCTCTTGCGCGTAGGGGTCTTTCGCAGTGGGATCAAACCAGAGGACCCGGAGAAAACCCACAAGGTTAGACAGGCAACCTACTCCTTGTCACGTACAACCAGGGAATCGAAACAACGCCAATTGACTCAATGACAGACCTATTGACAACACCAGAAGCTAACCATTCAGCCACCACCCCCCCCCTCCACATTTTCTGTAAGGAACGGGATTAGTCAATATTTACAAGTACCCAAGTACCAAGTGTAATGGGTTAAAAATATCTGTTTTATCTTTTAATCATATCTATAAAATTACCTTATATGAAAGTCACTGCAATTAAACCTGTTACTTTTTAAAGATCAACCTCCTTTGACAAAGAAATCACTTAAAACTAAGACATGTGTAGCTTTCGTGTTCAAACTATATCACCATCAAGTGATATGTCTACAAAAATTCAAGGTCAGTTTCAAGTTTTCACCCAAATCCCTGACATTTTCAACATTTAAAGAAAATTTGTAGAAAATGCAAAATCTAAACAAATTAACGGAGTGTTGGTGTTGGTTACATATGGCTTGAGACAGAGAAAAAAAACCTGAGAAAACAAATTCTTTGAATTTTATAAACCTGTACCTTTGAGAAGAAGTCAAAAGCAATGGCTTAACTACACTTCAAAAGATAATCAGATGCAGTCGAAGTTGCACACTTCAATATTTCTGTTTATCCATACTCTAAAAACCTAACAACGAGAGATTATCCCTGAACACCAGGAGTGAACTAACCATATCTAATCTCTACGACAAATATTGCTGATCGTTTTTAACCATATTGTAAACAATACAAGAAAATTAACCTGTCTTTCATCTTTAAACACTCTTAAGATGGCCCTCTTCATCTAATCCAGACTATAGATTATGTTGTCAGGTATATTGAAACACGATCCTGCAGAAGATTATGCAAGACGACTGAAAGATCTATTTCGCTAAGTAAATATATCTCATCAAGGGGTCTCGATAATCACTGATCCAGTCAAGATATAGTGGAGGGAGCAGGTCAAGATATAGAAATTGAATCTTATCTCAACATATTATGTAAGAATTTTGTAAAAGCATGTCCGCCCATGACAACAGAGAGACATGTCGATTGTAGGGGCACATTTTAAAGGGTTGATATCTAATTCATGTAACAAGTTTATAGAGAAGCCCAGTGCTTGCATATTTTGTATTTAGGAGAATGTATTGTTATTTTGGTATTAAAAGCATGTATGGTTATTTTTCTTATTACAAGAATGTATGGTTAGTTTTCTTATTACAAGAATGTATGGTTAGTTTTCTTATTACAAGAATGTATGATTAGTTTGGTAATTACTAGCATGTATGGTTATTTTGATAGTTACAAGAATGTATGAATAGTTTGGTAATTACTAGCATGTATGGTTATTTTGCTTATTACAAGTATGTATGGTTATTTTGATAGTTACAAGAATGTATGGATAGTTTAGTAATTACAAGAATGTATGGTTAATTTGGTAATTACAAGAATGTATGGTGACATGTAGTTTGATAATTACAAGAATGTATGGTGACATGTAGTTTGGTAATTACAAGAATGTATGGTGACATGTAGTTTGGTAATTACAAGAATGTATGGTGGCATGTAGTTTGGTAATTACAAGAATTTAGGTTATTTTGAATTCGATAAAATGTCTTCTTGAAGAAACATATCAAGCCAAATTGAGGCAAACATGTACATTGTAAAAAGCATCACTAACCAAAGCTGAAGGCCTATCCAAACAGATGTTCTTTTGGGCAACAACCAGAAATTTGTCTGGAAAAAGTCTGATATGTTCATTGAGAAATTCAGATCAAATTCTTCAGATGAAACAACCTTCCCAAATATAATGGACCATGTGCATGCATATGTCACTGACATTATGGTTGAATAAATATATGTCACTGACATAATGGTTGAATATTTTTACTCATTTCTGCAAAACCATTAACCAACTTTCAAATAGCCCAAAAGAACAATTAATTATATATTTTGCCCTATAAATTTCACCTTTCTTATACATCAACCCAAATTACCATGTTTGTCAGAAATTAAACAACAGCTTATCACGAAATTTGAAAAAATTACGCTTACATTTTTATATTATAAAACATACAGAAAGATTAACAGACTGGTAAGCCAATGACTATGATATATAGACTAGATCGCTCTGACTGACAATGTTGACAGATAATATGATGGTTTGTAACACCCAAGGCTATGCAATGATTTAAAACTTCACTACACAATGAAGACAGTTATAATTAATTAGCTTTTATAAGTTTTTTGGAGATATTGTTGGGCATTTTTTGTAGAATTTACTTGAGTTACTGCGTAAAATTCCTTATTTATGGGTATATTTTTCTTCTTATAAAACATATTATACAAAATAAAGACCTTATTTATTTGAGCTAGACAAATTTTTAAACATTCAGTAATTAATAGTGGGAGGGGAGAAGAGAGAGAATTAAGAAAACATTTTTATAAGCAAACTTCGAGAGTACATAATTATAGTACTGGTTGTTTTTTTTCCTAATATAACCGTCCAACACCTTCTCAAGTATTTTTTTTTTTTTCTCGAATAAATTTTTAAGTACCAGTATCTTTTCTTTTTCTCATCTTATGCAAGAGCATGTTTTATAATGACATTTTGACCATGGCAAACTGTTAACATATCAAAATTGTTGAAACTGGGAATTCACCAAAACATTCCAGAACTTCTATGGCCGTCATCACAACAATGTTCATAACAATAACATGTCTGCGCACAGTGTACGTCTGCTATCATTATTTTATTTAATACCATGCCATGTGGATAATCCAATTGTTCCATTTTACAGAACGTGCCTACCGGACCTTGTGTTTTAACCATGAGTTAGGAATAATTGTGTGTTTCAGGCCCATCCTTTCTGAAATCATGCATACATTACAACTACAAGTTGTTTAGAAATGAAATGCAGTTAATTATTTTTTTTTCTATTAATGTGTTTGTTTGTACCATCAGAATCTTTAAAACCTCTTTAAATACAATGTTAATTTTCAAGGCAATCTTTAACTCATAAAGCCATTACATGTATGACATCCACTAATGAACAAACACTGTAGGGGGAGCTATTTTTACCATTTCTTTCAGAAGTAGTATTTTGCGTGAAAAGAAAATTATTCTTACCTGTAAGCGAACTATTGACACATTGCCAAAATTCAATCTGAAAAATAAACAATGTTCTTTTTATAATTAATGTTTCTTGTCAAGAGTTTCTTGAGGTATATCATGGTACATGTACCATACTTGTTCCATTTGTGAGTATTTCTCCAAAAGCATATGCCATTTAATTGAAAGAGCTGCTTTCTTCCAAGGAGTTAAAGATTTCTTAGTTCAAAGAATTTCCGTTTAAAAGCGTATTTTTTAAAATGACAATAAAATATGAATTGTAATAATCAGGTCATTATTAACATATTGCATGGTATTTACATTGTAAAAGCTAAGTAATGGAGCTGAATGTCTGGTCAATGGAAAACTTCAGCCATTATTAGACTACATGTAACCTAATGTGGTATATTTATTGTCTATTACTATTAGTACATGTATAACACTAATTCCAACTGCCATTTGTATTTGACAATTCAGATTTTGGGTTCAACATAAAAAAAAAAGACAAAGTTTCCATATCAGCCTGCAGATGACAGCAACATATAAATTTAATAGTTAATGTTTTGGTAATGATACGAAAGCTAAGATTTGATAGTCTATATTTGTGTAATGTTGTAATAGGTATGTTTTGATAGTCCATTTTGGGATAATATTATAATGCTATGGTTTGATAGTCAATTTTTGGGTAATACTTTGATGGCTATGCTTTCATACTCAAGGTTTGGGCAATACATATGATAGTCTTGCTATAATAGTTATGTTTGATATTCAATTAAAGTTCATGTAATAGTACAGTAATTAAGGTTTTATTAATAATCAGGGTTAGAATATTGGTATAATAGTAAAGGTCTGGTATAAAGTCATGGTACAATAGTTAATGTTTGGGAAAAGAATAAGGTTAGAAATATGTTTAATTGAGTAAATCATAATTGTCTACTTACTAATCCAGAAGGGCACTGATTGGCTGCATTGATTAACTTCTGTGTCTGGTGGTAATTATTTTGTGTAGCCAATAACTGAAAAGATAAAATATATACATCAATTCGGTGTTTGAATTACTATAACACTTGCTAGTTGCTACAAAACAAATTTAAATCAAAATTGCATAGTTTTGACACTCTTAAATCCATATTTGCAATGGTTTATTATTAAAAAATATTTGAAGAATTCCAACCAGTACTTTGGTTCATATAATAAATAATACTGGAGAAGGTCTGAAAATGACCATTTAATTCAAAATTTCATAATTTTGACACTTTTAAATCTACATTAGTGATGGTTTATTATTTATACAATTTTTTAACAAATTCTAACCAGCTTTGGATCATACAAAATGACAATTTTGTTGTTTGACTATTGAATTTATTTTTATTTCAATGAAGCACAAAATAACTGATTTGTAAGCAACATTTTAAATAGATACTGAATAGAGGTACAACAATATAATATAGTCTTATATACATCCATAACACTTCCTGATAAAACTTATACAGATATAAATCATCCATGGCACTTCCCAACATAAACAAAACATTCATTTACAATATAATGTTCAGTAAAAATGTAAATGATGCTATAAGAGTATATAGCTTAAGTGGGGGTGTAGGCAAACTCAAATCTTCTTTTATATTACCTTGAGTTAGTGTGTGTCTGCAGTTCATGCTTATACAATATCAAATCAAAATATTATACATGTACCATCTTGAGCGTGATGTTCATGGCTAGAAATAAGTTATCCTTCAGTCGTTGCATGTTCAAGTTGATAAAGATGTTGGTGTAAAATAAATGGAAACTTTTAGAAAGTCTTATATAACTTGCATAAAGGCTGATTAATGTTAATAATGTTTTGACCAGTATGAATTTTGGGGAGACTGTTTCATATAATGCATGATCTGAAAGTCTTTTTAATCTGGAATATTAGGTCTCTAATTAAAACATGTACATGTAATGTAATGTGATGTTGACTTGTGTATCCATGCATGTCATGTCATATCTTTACTATCTGTAAACCAATTTTGCAGGATGTACATAGTAGGTGAAAAAAGGTCAAAGAAACAATATTTATAGGCTGGTTCTCATCAACCACCAAATTTATTAACATATAACTACAAGAACATTAGTCACTAAACAAAATCTAACAGTCCTGCCCTTTGATGTCCGGCCATCACTCATTTTAGTCCCTGATAAAATTGACCAGGCCATAGTCAAGATTAACAAGAAACTTGATAATATTTCAAAAGAATGGCTGAACTTCAAGAAGATAAGTCAGATTACCTGATAACAAAGACTATTAACTATCCCCAACAACCAGACAGAAAAACAATATTAAGGCTTGCTGATGTTTTCCTTTCAAGTTAAAAATAAGAAAACAACTTTCAAAGAAAAATCTTATTTCTTAAAACAAGCGAAAACTTTCCAGAGCCATATTTGAGACAACTCAAAGCAACATAAATTGTGTAGGCTAAATATTGAAATTTCCTTCTTTATTTCCATTTATCTTGATATTTTTTTTTTAAAAATGTATTGTATTAAACTTTGAAAATGAAAAGATGTTTTAGGAGGAGTAAGCAGAACATGCCTCATGCATGACACCCATCATCACTACTTTTAACTATGACCAAAAGTTTGGACTTTTTCAACTGAAACTGAACAAAAGACTAAAATTGCCTCTTTCATCAACATATGGTTGATTTTGCACCACAATTTTCAGCAGAACTCTTGGACATTTCAACTGTATTTATATGTACAGTACAGTTCACTATATTATATCAGTTCAATGAAAATTAAAGCCATGGATCATTCAAAACTGCATCTTTAAGTAAGGTAAATTTGACAAAGAAATAAACAAGGGAACCATAATAATGTTATAATAACAAGCACAGTAACTAAATACACAATCAAATCTTATACCCTATCTGGTTAAATATTTTTATTTCATTTCTTAACATGCATTTTTGAGTACTGATACTACATTTTTGAAAAATTTATATTGCGATTTAAAAAAAGATAATAAGAAAATAGTACAATCCCAAAATGAAATTGGGGCAATTTTTTCCTGATTACTCCCTTTATTATTCATATTTTCTTTAAAAATTATGATCATATAAAATTCTGAAATCTGAGCGCATTATCTTTGTGTCAGCAACAAAAGCTGATATTGTCAGAGTTATCAGCTCTCTAATCAAAAAGCGTGTAAAAGATGATTGATTGGACTAGCGTAGAGAACGCTAGAGATAGAATCTTGACTACATTTACTAAAGAAATGACAAGAGTTATCCATTTTGATCATATTACATCATATAAATAGACAGAGTAAAAAAAAACAGCAATATTTAAAGTAAAACTGTTATAATTTTTACAAAATTTTGTTAACCATACTGAAAACCTAGTGGACATGTATAACTGTACAACAATACACAGATGAAATGAACATGGCAATAGATCACAGACAGTACAATTAGATACCTACAAATGTATACCCGAGTGGTCTAGCGTGTATGCTTTACATTGTAAGATCTGTTATTGAGTCATATGACATGCATGGTTTTGATACCAAGTTTGTATGTGGCACTGAGTAGAATCGTGCTTGCCTAACCTTGTGGGAAATCAAAATGTGCCACGTAAGCGCCAAAATCCTCCCCCCACCACCGCAAACATTAATTTCTAACACAAGATTGGGTTTAAGAAGAATCTAAAAGATCAGGTATGGTTATCGGAACTCCATCCACCTCAATAGCTGATTAGTTGATCAATCATCATAATGCAATATAAGATAAGTTGCCAATCAATAAAACATACGCCCTCAACAGCCAAGTCATCCAGGGAGACAACAAGGGTTGTCGCATATTGTTTTTCTTTTGTCAGAAATGAAAGCATTTGCAACACACTAAAATCTGATTACGAGTAACAACCCATCTGGCTTCTAGTTCTGCCCTATTCTAACATTTAGCATACAAAACATTTAATATCAATTGCCATAATCATCGGAAATCGTTGAAAATTGAACAACATAATGTCAATCAGATATTAACTTTAGCCTCTAAAGCATCCACAAGATTTTTCAAAGTGATCAAGGGCCAAAATTACGGCAGTAATTATCGGAAATCAACGAAAATCAATAGCTTGTGGAGACTGGGGGCGGACAGGGGCGACGACAATATACAACCACATTTCAATGTGGGCATATAAAAACCGTTTAGTTGATCATTCAGTTGGTTATTTTACTCACTTCTTCAGGTAGCGGCACTTTAAACAAGTTTTGGTAAACTATAATGTACATCATTCAAGTTGAGCCCAGCCGAGAAAGTCAGTCTTGTATTATAGACTGTAACACAATACGCATGTAACTTGATACCAGAGGGTTATATTTCCTTCAGTGGTCTAGGACAAAACAGTTTGCTACCAATCTTACATCTAATATCATACAGCCCTCATTTTAACAAAACACCAAAAGATGAAAATAGGGGAGGTAAAGACAGTAACTAAATTGAGCTTAACTGGTTATAAAAAAACCCAATAAAATGGCTGAATGTTAACTTTGAAATCAAAATGGCCACATACATGGAAAAATGGTTTAATGTTCACCAAACACAACAGTAATTTTGGGACTGATAGTACTTTGAAATTGCTTCATGCGGGGAAATGAAGACAAATCAAATTCAACCAATTGATGTATGTAAGGATTGATATTATGGAGGATATTATGTTATCACAGGATATCCTGGTTAGTGATCCACCAGATCAACCCATTGACTCAACAGAAAATAGACTTGTAACATTGACAAATCAGTGTGTAGACCACTTATTGTCTAATATCCTCTCCCTCCACCATACCCAAAAACCCTGCCTCTGTCTTACACCCCCACAAACATCACCACCACCAATTCCACACCAAAACCATTATATACTACAGTTCAAGAGATTCAGACTAAAATCTCTCCAATACTATGTTATATCCAATGCCTTCTTACTAATTTTTTAAATTCTACTTAAATTCAAGTTTTAAATCCCTGTTTCGAGTCATTAAAACTTCAAGCACCGAATACAACCAAAAAACAAGTCTTGAAATCTTATTCAAATATCAAGCTATTGTAAGAATTTGGAGAACGTTTGAAGACAGATGTTAGAATCATTAAATCCATAATTACTAAACATAATAAAACACACAACTCATTATTATCCTCCCCCATATTCATAACTTTCTCCCTTTTCTTTTTCCTTCAATTGATTTATACTACAACAAAGTCTGACACCAAGATTCAAAGTCAGATTTCCACGCTTTGATGATAATCTGTCACAGACAATATTATTATATGGTGTTAAAGAGTACCATGACCTGTTTTCAGACAGACCAATCAGAAGAACAACTGTAATTTCCATACAGAATGCAAATTGTACTAGGTGAAGCAGTAGGGAGGGCATTCCTGCAATGGACCAAGCAATCTACATAACATGATAGGGAAGAACTTATAAAGTTTTTCAAACATGGCCCCAAACTTATTCCTGAAGAAATTATCCAGTTCATAATAGCTGACAGAGACTACTAAATTTCTTTGGGCTCGTCTTCTGCATTTATCTACATGTAAAGGTGGAATGCAATTATTGCAGAAAACGGGTTCAAAATGGAAGAAGTAACACTTGATTGTTAGGATTGGCTGATTACATAATTTATAAGATCTCAACGACTACATACCATATAAGACATTGTATACTACCAAATTTAGTACCAAAACTGCACCCTCTTTCTGTGACTGAATAACAAACAACAAAGGCCTATGATATTACACAGAAGTCTGTTATGCCTTTTGATGAGTGATTAAGATGTTACTGTTATTCTTAAATACCATTTTATACAGATAAACAAAGTTCACACATCACAAATTCTCGCTTTTGTTTATTATCGGTAATTGTTATTGAGCAATATTATAAATGACTTAAACTTGACGCCTGTATGTGTATCATGTGGCAATCATATAATAACTCTAATATTTTTGATGACATCCGTCAAAAGGAATGG